GGGGGAAGTTTGGTTTTTCAGTTCTTACCCCCCGAAACTCTGTCTCTGCAGTGGCTCAGTTCTCTTGTCCTGCTTTCTGCTGCTGGCGCTTTTCTCTCTTTCCTTGCAGGAGTTCTCTCTGTGTTGCTGCATGCTGGCTTCTGCTGTTTCTTATCTCTTGGCTCACTGCCACCATTTCTCCGTCCACTGCTGCTCCGTCACCACTCCCAGCGTCTCCCACTGCTGCCTACCAGGGAGAAACTCCCCCAGCTCCTAGCCACAGGTACTCAGCCCAGTCTAACACTGTTCCGAATCCCTGCAGCCCCCCCAGCCGGGGCTGGGGGTGTGGGGGGGCAGAGCCCCAAGGGGCTCCGAGCCCCTTCCTCGTGGCCTCACAACATGGCCACTTTTCTACTAAACCACCAGTACCACTGCTTCTTTTCCGGTCCAGAGATATATGTTTATATTTTACAGGAGCACTGATTGGGTCAAACCCCAAGGGCCACCACCCCCTGGGGGTTACAACTTTCCTAGTTTCAGGGGGAAAACCTGGCTCAAACCACTACATTTAGTGAGCCATATAGCAGTAGGTTGATGGCAGTAACTAAAAACAGAGTGACAGAAGAAGCAGTTCAACCAGTTGCCTTGTTGAGGTCCCTCTTTCATTTTAAGTCCACAGTTTTCCCAAAATGGACAATATGAAATATACAGATAAGGGAGATAAAACCAGATGCCAGAGATACAACTCTGACATATCTTCGTCTTTGACATAGGAAGAATTCATACTGCTGTCATAGCTGAGTGCTTTGCAAGTTTTAATGCCTTTAGCTCTTTATCCCTGTGATAAATTGATTTACTTGTATGGATGTATGCAGCTAACCTTGTTCACAACCAGCCCTAGCTAAGCTCAAAATATTGCAAATATTGGCCATTTTTTTTCACAGAAGAAAAGGTACAAAATCCTCCCTTACAAAACCACACTTACTATGATAATTAAGATATCCGGTCCTGAACACCAGAAGGGAAGTGTGATCTCTGCTGTCTGGTCCTCATCTAGTTAGGTGTTTCCTTCTAAGACATAAACAACCCCCTCAACTATCTCTATCAAAAAGCTATCTCTGTGGGTATTTACTAGCATAGAACTAAAGCTTTCAAATACCCTTTTTAGACTAGATATGAAGGTTCTCCTCATCAAAAATTGTGTTATTTATTTTCCTTGAATAAACAAACCACTTCATATGTAATTTTCTCTGATCAAATTAAACAATTTCTTGCTAAGGCCTAGATGTAAGCTAAAGTCAAACATATGAATTCAGGAACATTTTGTTCTTTCTGACAATGAAATATTACCACAGCATTCAAAACAATATAAATCAGTACACTATTTCCCAATTAAGATAATTTTGTTAAACAAGTTGATTCAGTTGGCACCATAACAGATTTTCAGTCTTTTGTATGCTTTTTTTCTTCTTAATAGCAAAATAATTTAATTTTGATTAAATAGTCTTGGTGAAGGTGCAATTTCTCTATTTATTCTCTGATAAAACAGGAGTCAGAGCCACACTGATTTGCAATCTCAGCCTTATCTAGTCTCTGTGATGTATTTCCTTTGCAGCTCTGGGTCCCAGGACAATCATAAGGGTCCTGCAGTACTGTTAGCAATTCTGTCACTTAAAATCCTGAGTTCTTTAAGAATGGGGAGAAGTTATTTGTGAGTTTCGACTTATTGCTCATTTTGCTTGTATTACTCCTGTGTCCTTTGCCTTTTGGCATTGAGGAACACATTTGGTGCAGGTAGCTCAGTATGCAGCTGAAGTGTCAGCTGCAGATTGAGCTCTGGGTACAAGTCCAAGAGAAGAGCCGTGAACTGCTGACCCTCTTAATAACCAAGGGCATGAAGAGCAGTGGTACCAGTCAGGTGGATGGACACTGGGAGACACAGCAGGAGCAGAAGACCTGGGAAGAAGAGCAAGACTCGCACACACTTGGACTGTGATGGTGTAAAAGCTTAGGGGTTCCTTTGTTTGGGGTCCCTCCTCAGAGGCACCAGCTCAAGCTGTTTCTGTTATTGTGCCAAGAATAAATGGCTTTATGGAACAAGACATCTGAGATTCTGTCGTGGGAAACCTGGTGTGGACTCAGTAAGGAAACCTGGTCTGACTGTTTGAGGGATGTGTGGGGAGCCCAGTGGGAACCACCGGGTCACTGGAGCTGCCCGCAGTGAAGGGGCTTCAGTCCCAGTAGTGAAATTCTCTGGCTTTGGGAGTGTGACTGCCACAGTCTTGTGAATGGTCAGGCTGGGAAGTTTCCTCAACATCAGTTTGATACAGATTCTCTGACTTGCTCTAGAGAAGGATTCTGATAAGAACTTCCCTACTACTTCTACTAACAGAATTTAAGTTACAAACACATTAGGAGGGTCATGAATACACACATAACTAAATACCTGCACAACAGTTCATATGGCACCATACTATTTGCTGAAAACAAAAAAGCTTGAAGAACAGGCAGGATTCAGGGTTCCATGTGTCAGGAAATAAATTAAACCGATCCACATACAAAGCAGTTACACCATATTGTAGTTAACGTACTAATGAACTTGGGCAAATTTTAATGTCCAATTGAAATTTTTCAAAGTTTTTGGTTTGTTCATGTGCAGCACAATTTAATGTATCAGAAGTCAGCAAAATGCACTGAAGAGTTCTTATTATTTAGGAGCACTTGGAGATTGGTGGGGTTAATACTTTAATTTTCCAACTCTTTGAAAGCTATTCAGATGCTCAGGCAATGAATGTGGCTGTGAAAGGGTATGGAGCTATCACTGAGTCTATACTCCACATGTGAAGTAAGAGTAGTTTCTCATCATTTGTATCACTTTACCTCTGCAGCTAATGCATTTCTTTTACTGTTTAAGTACTTAGTCATTCTTATAAGACTCTAACCTCAACACTTTTCAATAGAAATTACTTACTACTCTATCACAAAGCTCTGTGACATTTCACTTTCAACAATAAAATATATTTGGAGATGCACAGATGCATATGATTTTATTAAATAAGATTAAATACAATTTTGTGTCTGTCTTTATACATATAAAGGTTGTCACACTTGAACAAAACCACAGTTTCAATATATGGAGAGCCCAAGAGGCACCTTTTCTGTAACAACAGTAGATTCTTAATATCAGTAATCAATCCAAACACCTCCTTTAT